TATATCTTATGAACTTTAAGGGAGAATAAACAGCAGTACAGTCATATTAGGGTACTTTAATATCCCACTGCTATCATTGGATAGGTCTTCCAGACAAAAATATCAATAAGGAAAGAGTGGATTTAATTGATATTTACAGAACATTTCATCCCAAAACAGAAGAATATACATTCTTCTCAAGTGTACATGGAACATTCTCAAAGATAGACCACATGTTAGGACACAAAACAAGTCTATACAAATTCAAGAAGCTTGATATAATACCAAGCATCTTCTCAGATCACGATGACATGAAACTAAAAACCAACTATAATAAAAACATCCCCAAACATTCAAACACATGGAGGCTAAATAGAATGTTATTAAACAATGAATGGGTTACCAGTGAAATCAAGGAAGAAATAAAAATTACCCAGTAACAAATGAAAATGAACACACAACAACCCAAATCTATGGGGCAGAGCAAAAGCAGTACTGAGAGGGAAGTTCATAGCATTATAGGCTTACCTCAAGAAGCAAGAAAAAAAATCCCAAAGAAACAATTTAGCCCTACACCTAAAAGAACTACAGGGGTGGGGGAAGCCCAGAGTAAGTAGAAGGAAGGAAATAATAAAGATCAGAGTGGAATAGATGTGGAAATAGCATTCAATAAATCCAGTGCCCATTTATGATAAATGCTCTCAGCAAAGTGGGAATATGGGGATCATCCCTCAACATAACAAAGCCATATATAGCAAACCTACAGCCAATATCATACTTAGTGGGCAAAAACTAAAAGCATTTCCCTTAAGATCAGGAACAAGACAGGAATGTTCATTTTCACCACTCTTATTCAACACAGTACTAGAAGTCCTAACTACAGCAATCAGACAAGAAGAAAAAATAAAAGGCATTCAAATTGGAAAGGAGAAATATTATTTGCAGGTGGCATGATTTTATACATAGAAAACCCTAAAGACTCCACCAAAAAAGCTGCTAGACTTAATAAATGAATTTGGCAAAGTAGCAGGACATAAAATTAATATCCAAAAATCAGTGGCATTTTTATGCACCAATAATAAACTATCAGAGAAACTAAAAAAAAAATCCCATTTACTATTACAACAAAAATAAGGTACCTAGGAATAAACTTAACCAAGGAGGTAAAGACCTGTATTTGAAAAACTATGGGACATTAGAGAAAGAAACAGAGGAAGATACAAACATGTAGAAGCATATACTGTGTTTATGGATTGGAAGAATTGGTAGAATTAACATCATTAAAATGCCCATACTACCCAAAGAAATCTATAGATTTGATGTAATTCCTATTAAAATACCAATGGCATATTTCACAGATCTAGAAAAAATATACCAAAAATTTATATGGAACCACAAAAGACCTCGAGTAGCCCCAGCACTCAAGAAAGTAGAACAAAGTTGGAGGGATCATAATACTGGATATCAAACTATACTACAAAACCATTGTAATCAAAACAGCATGGTACTGGCACAAGAACAGGCATATAGATCAATGGAACAGAACAGAGGGCCCAGAAATCAACCCAAGACTTTATGGTCAATTAATATTTGACAAAGGAAGCAAGAGCATATAATGGAGTAAAAACAGTCTCTTCAATAAATGGTGTTGGAAAAATTAGACAGTTCATACAAAAAAAAAAAAAGAAACTAGGCCACCAACTTACACCATACACAAGAATAAACTCAAAATGGATAAAAGACTTAAATATAAGTCACAAAATCATAAAAATTTTAGAAGAAAATAGACAATAAAATCTCAGACCTCTTGAATAGCAATATTTTTACCAATATATGTCCTAGGGCAAGGGTAACAAAGGAATAAAAGCTTCTGCACAGCAAAAGAAACCATCAACAAAATGAAAAAGGAACCCACTGTATGGGAGAACATATCTGCCAAGAATACATCTGATAAGGGGTTAATTTCCATAATATATAAAAACTTATACAACTCAACACCAGAAAGACAAAAAATCCAATTTTAAAGTGGGCAAAGCCTTGGCTGGTTTTGCTCAGTGGTTAGAATTTAGCCCATGAACCAAAGGGTCTCCAGTTCAATTCCCAGTCAAGGGCATGTACCTTGATCAGGTTTGATCCCCAGCCCTGGTCGGGGCATGTGCAGGAGGCAACCAATCAGTGTGTCTCTCTCATATCTCTCTCTCTCTCTCTCTCTCTCTCTCTCTCTCTCTCTTCTCCCTCCCTTTCATTCTCTCTAAAAATCGATGGGAAAATATCCTCTGGTGAGGCTTTAAGAAAAAAAATGGGCAAAGGAAGGACCTAAATAGATACTTCTCTAAAGAATACATACAGATGGGCAATAGACATATGAAAAAATGCTAAACATCACTAATCATCAGAGAGATGCTAATTAAAACTCATACCTGCTAGAATGGCTGTCATCAATAAACCAACAAATAACAAGTGCTGGCAAGGATGCAAAGAAAAGGAAACCCTAGTGTCCTGCTGGTGAGAATGCAAAATGGTCCAGCCACTATGGAAAACAGTATGGAGTTTCTTCAGAAAATTAAAAATGAAACTGCCTTTTGACCCAGTGATCCCACTTCTGGGAATATATCCTAGGAATCTTGAAACACCAATCAGAGAGAATATATGCACACCTAAGTTCCTACAAGCATTATTTACAATAGCCAAAATCTGGAAGTAGCCCAAGTTCTCATCAGTAGATGAGTGGATAAAAAAGCTGTGGTACATTTACACAATAGAATACTATGGAGCCATAAAAAAAGAAGGAACTCTTACCCTTTGCAACAGCATGGATGGACCTGGAGATTATTATGCAGTCAGAGAAAGACAAATATTACATGATCTCACTTATACATGGAATCTAATGAACAAAGTAAACTAATGAATAAAATAGGTCCATAGGCGTGGATGCATGGAACAGACTGACAGATCTCAGAGCGGTGGGAGGTGGGGGGAATGGAATGAGATTAACCAAATAACTTAAATGCATAGACCATGGACATAGACAATAGTGTGGTGAAGGCCTCGGTTGGGGTAGGGGGTGAGTGGAGGGGGGCAAAGGTAGGGTTAATGGGAGACATCTGTATTAGTGTCAACAATAAAAAATAAATTTAAAAAATAATAATAATACTGAATAGTCACCATCCTCATATGGCACATGGTTTAGAATGCGAGTGGTTGGGGCCTGAGAGGGGACTGAGCAAAGCTGTATGACAGTGAATGGAGCAAATATGACACATGAGGACCTGCTCACTAATATCAGTGACTTCAGGTGGATTTTCACTTAGACATAATTTCAGACTTGCAAAAATGTGGCAAGGGAAGCACAAATGATTTCCAGATACCCTCCACCCAGAATCCCTATTTGGTAAGATTTTACTACATTTGCTTTCCACTATATTTCAAGAAGATTCAGACACAGAAAAAGGGTGAATCTGTGTTGAGGTATTTTGTTTTCCTAATTCTCCTAAAAATGTTTCCCTGTATCAAAACCCCTCTGGCAGGAACCTTCCTATCACAAAGGCTATAGACTTCCTTCCCCTCCTTGCCCCACCCTCTCCCTTTGCCAAGAGCACAGAAGGGGAAGAAGTGTGCACTTGGGGATGCTGCCAAGAGAGACTGTGTGAAGAAGGAAGGAGTTGCCTGAGCAGAAGGAGTGTATTCTCAGGAGAAAGGGCTCTGTCCACCACACCACGCATAAGACCACCAGGAAGATCCCCACTGCAAACCAATCCAACCTTTCAGGGAGATAGCAGGTAAGTCTATGTCCTCTCTGCAGATTGTTGGCTCTTCCCCAGTGCCAAGACCTTCAGGGACACCTGTCCTATCTGTCAACTCCTGACATAGTCTTTGAAAGACTGAGGCTTCTGACAGCTGAAGTCAGGATGGCCAAGACTACTAACTAATGTGCTAGGGAGCAAGAATCATTTCAAGGCTAAGGGTTTTCAAAGTCCAGAAAAGGATTTAGTTCATTAGACAGAATTTAGGAGGCCACAAATGGGAACAGGTCTGAGGCCCAGAGCTGAGGGATGGATGGGTGAAGGAGAGGCAGTGTGCCAAGTTCAAAGGCTCCCAACCAGCACAAAATCCTATCCATCTTTGGGCCTGTGCTGGGTCTCCTCCTTGTACCTGTCAATGGCATGCCTGCCTTCAAACCCCCCTCCCAAGGGTGCTCTGAGAAAGGCATTGGCATATGTCCTAGTGGAGAGAAGTCTTGTCCCCAAACACTGATGGGGGTACTGTGCTCTAATCCCCACAGGCCTCCTCATCTCATCATCATGAACTGGTGGTGCATGATCATCTCTGGGCTTATCGTAGTGGTGCTTAAAATTGTCGGAGTGACCTTATTTCTGCTTTATTGTGAGTATTTGAGCAACCTCTTACCCCAACTCCATGTTGTCTTATTCTTGGATCTTTTCTCAGAATGAGTGGTTAAATGTATAGATTAAGTGCCCAAGTCTTTCCACCTGAGAGCAACTGACAATACCCTTCTCACTTCCCAAAACACACAATGGGCCAGGTTCCTTGCTCTACCTTGGAGACATAGAATTGACTCAGAACCCCACCCAGAGCTTTCATCCTAGAGCATTAGTTGGGTAATCTGAGCTGAAATACTCAGCAGTGCTTGCTATTGTTGCTAAAATCTGAAAATTCAGCTGCAGTTCATCCTATTGTTGGAACTGTAATATAAGATAATGGGGTTTTCCGAAGGGAGGCATTTCCTTCTGTGTACACAGAAATGAATTCATCTAAATGCTTAGAAAAAAAAGCCTCCTATCAAGGAATTTTACTGCAATTGCAGCAAGTAGAATCTTCTCCAGCCCCAGAAGCCAGTAGGGAAAATAAATGAGGAAGGAAATGTAGTTTAGGAGGCCGTGGTTGGGTAAGAAGTGTCTTCCTTATGACCCAATCCAAAGGTGAAACTTGTATCACATCAAAGAGCAGGAAGAAAATACAAATATAAATAAGTGAATGTATTCACAAAAAACATACACGTACATGTCTTTGTGGACCAGAGTCAGACAGTTCTATATTTTCCATTAAAAGTCACAGTGACCTAGCAGCCCCTGTGGGGATGTTTGTTATATTCATCCCACAGTTGGGGCTGAACCAATAGCTGATTTTCTTTGCAGTCCCACAGATTTTTGGCAAATGTAATGACAGCTGCAGTCCCACAGAGAGCTATGGAACAGGTAACATGCATGACAATAATCTCTTCTCCATCACGTTCTAATATGCTGAATTCTCTTTAGAAACCTTTCTCAAGGACTTTTCCCAAGAAGTTCTTTGGCAGGAAATGTGCATAAATATCTGCTAATTTATAAGATATATATACATCCTGGGATGTACATCTAATGTACAACATGGTGACTACTGTTTTCTATACTTGATAGTTGCTAAAAGAGTAGGTCTTAGATGTTCTTACTGCAAAAAAAGTGGCAATTTTGTGAAGTAATGAAGGTGTTAGCTAACCTTATTGTGGTAATAGATTTTGCAGTATATATTGTATTAAATCCTCACACTGTACAACTTAAACTTACACAGTGTTATATATCAATTATATCTCATAAAGCTGAAAAAAGAAAATAAATTAAATGCAACATAGTCAGTAAAAAATCTTCTATTTGGTCCCCTTCCTTTTATAGTTGGGAAACCAAGACTAGACTGAGTGAAATGCCTGGTCCTCGGTTTTCCTCATGGGTCTGAGGAGGGAAATTAGTATGGAATCACTATGATGTAATGTGAAAGTACTTAGCAAACTCTGACATGTTGTGCACCTAAAGGAATTGTTATAAAGAAGTCCATTCCCACACACACAAAAAAATTGCATACAGCGTCTTTTTGTATGTGCCAAGCACTATACCAGACCAACCAGAGAAGAAGAATAAAAACAGGACATATTCATCAACTACAAAACACAAGGCACGATGCCAGAGCTATGGGGGATAAAGAGATGGGCGAGGCACGGCTCTCCTTCCTAAACCCACCTCTCCCCGTCACTTCCTCTTAAGACACCTACTACTTTGTACATCTTTAAGAGAATAATTGTTTCTTGTTTGTCCCAGACAAACAAGACACTCAGTACACTGAGTTAGTTACATGGAGGAAATACTCATGAAATATTTATGGAGTTCTGTTCAGTTACGATCCCCAAACCAGGTTATTACATATCACACACACACACACACACACACACACACACACACACACACACCTTGGAACTGGAGACTGAAATAAAAAGTGAGTGCTAACTTGTATGCTTTATTAATATAAGTGTAAGTAGCTGTCTGGGCCCATTAAAGAGGTCTTCAACCACAATGGACAAATAATTGGGCCATTGAGGATAAATTTTACTGCCTCTGAAGCCACTGCAGCTTCCTGCTCAGGCGGCCAGTGTTCCCAGGAAAAATGAGGCCTCTTGGAGGCCTATAAATTCTCCTACTTATATTCAAATAAATATTTGCCTCTTCTCTGCCCATAGGAAAGCTCTGGAATGTTTGCCTGCCTTCTTGTCTGCCCATAGCTCTGGCCCTGAAACTTGCTCCAGTTAGCCACAGTCCTTAGCGCTGATGAGTTCTGATCAAAGAAGGCTCCAAATGTTGCTGATCATGAGTTTTCATATAGGGTTTGAGGCACCAGAACTGGAGAGAGCAGCAAAGATGCTGTGTAGAGCCTGGAGGGGAAGTGGTCCAAATAGCTCTTTGGATATAACAGTGTCAAATGTGAACATGAGAAAGGAGCAGGAGGTTTCCTTCTGATACTAAATCCATCCATTCTTCTTCCTGTCTCCTGTTCTTTCTCTCAGCATTTCACACCTACATCACACCAAAAAATAAAATAAAATAAAAAAGACATGAACTAGAGCTTGGGGTGTGGAACATGACAAATAATGGTAGTAGTTTGATGGAAGGTTCCAAGAAAAAAATCTCTGAAAAATTCTAGCGCAAAATGACCAAGAGCCCCTGTCACCTCTATTGTCCAGGGACAAATAGTCACAGGGACTTGAAGCTGCTCTGAGTTTGTGTGTTATATTCATCACATGCCTATCTTAAGGTTTTCTTTTCCTTTCAGTCCCACAGATTTTCGGGAATGGTAATGACAGCTTCAGTCCCACAGAGAGCTATGGAACAGGTAAAGAGCATCGTTATAACTTCTCCCCACCCCCAGGTTCTTATGTAGTAATTTCTTAAAGACTTTTCCCATTGCCCCCTTTCTAATGAAACTGTTTTGCTCAAAGGAACCCATAAAGACCTTCTAATTCATTCCCTTTATGTTATGCATAGGGATACTGAAATTAGATTGGATGAAATTTCTTCCTGGATTGAGGATGATTTGTTTGAATATAATTGTTATAAAGAAACCCATGTTCCACTATATTATGACTCAGTTCCAGGGCTCTCACCTACAACCACTAATATCATGCTCTCTTTTCTTGGATTTCCTTAGTCTGCCCCAGCAGGTGGGATTTTCATCAAGGAAGATGCTTTTTCTTTTCCACCTCTGAAATGTCTTGGAACAAAAGCAGGGACCTGTGTGAAGCACAAGGATCGACTCTGGCCATTGTCAACACCCCCGAGAAACTGGTGAGAGCATGAGAAAGATACAGTAATGCAGCCCACCTGACACCAGTCTCAGTGGGAGGAGGGGTGGGACAATTTGACTGGTGGAGCTGGGGCAAGGTGGGGGATGAAAAGGTGGCTGTCTGAGATCTCAGGCTCCTTGTTCTGAACCTGGAGCTGGGGTAGCAATGGGGTGTGCTCCTCAGGTCCATTTGAGCTAGTGAAATCCATGAGGCACAGCAGTAGACTGTTATCCTGGGGATGGGTTGGGACATTTAAAGTGCAGGGAATGACCAAATGAGCTGATGTGTATCAAAGTTGTTTAAGAAATATAGAATACTTCAAAGATGTAAGCTATTAATGTATCATGCCAGTCTGCCTCATTAATAAGGAAGATGCCAATTAACAAAATGAGTAAAACACAAATAATCCTATATAATAAGAGGCTAATATGCAAATCGACTGAACAGCAGAACGACCAGTCGCTATGATACACACTAACCACCAGGGGGCAGACACTCAACGCAGGAGCTGCCCCCTGGTGGTCAGTGAACTCCCACATGGGGAGTGCCACTCAGCCAGAAGCTGGGCTCACAGCTGGCAAGCACAGCGGTGGTGGTGGCGGGAGCCTCTCCTGCCTCTGCTGCAGTGCTAAGGATGTCTGACTGAGAGCTTAGGCCCGCGGGCTCCTGGACTGACGGAGGGCACAGGCCAGGTTGAGGGACCATTCCCTCCCCCCCCCAGTGCATGAATTTTATGCACCAGGCCTCTAGTTAGGTCATAGAATTGGGATTGCAGTATACAATTATGATAATAAAAAAGCCAACACTATGCAAAAAAGCTTTGTTTTAGTATCTCCTTTTATGCTCATAACAATTCTGAGGAGGTATTATTATCTGTAGTTTATATATAAGGAAATTAGGTCACAGAAAAGTAATTTGGCCAAGGCCATACACCTACTAAAGGACAGCAGATGGAATTGAGATCTCTCTACCTCCAAAACCCATACTCTACTCAATTTTAGACCCTAATATATTTTATTTTGTAGTTGCCTCTTCAAACCCTAAGCATTTGCTGAGTGCTAGACATTGTGCTACATACAGTAATCGTGCTTCTTTCCCCTCTATCTCTTCACCCTTCTTCTAAAAAGTACTCCTGTTATTGAGAAGAATTTGTAAGAGGGTCTTCTGTGAATCTGGGATGTAGATGTCCAACAAAGAGCTAAGAACCTCCATGGGAAGGAAAAGTACTTTAACATAGAGAACCAGGAGCAAGAGAGTGGGGAGAAAAGAAAAAAGATGAAAGGAATGGAACAGAAAGTCAATAGTCTCATTGTCTCTACTAACCCTTACGTTTTGTGGCATCTCAAGTGTGGTCCTTGGCATTCTCTACTACTTGGCATTCTCCACCATGCCAATCCCAGAGAAAGCTCATCACACTAGTGGTTTGCTGATGATTCTCAAGTGTGTATCTCCAGCTCGGCCTTCTCCAGCTAGCCTTCTCTAGACCAGACGAAATATATATATATTCTCCTTTGATGTTTCAAAAGCATCACAAACTCACCATATTCAAACTGAGTCGTTATATTTTATTCCAACTGCTCTTCCTCTTGAATTCCAAATACTTGTGAGTATTTGTGTCACCCAAGAACAAATACTGACAGTTTCTGGGACTTGATCTTTTCTATTCTCTCCTAAATTAGTTGCTAACCAAATCCTTCCCTATCTTCCTATAGCAATAATTCACCTGTCATCTGGATTTCTTCAAAATTCTTCTAACTCCTCTCTTTATCCCTAGTTTTGACCTGTCTTACCTATCCCCCATAGAACTGATATAATAAAATATGTAAGGCTTTTAACTGTCTGTGCCATTTGCCAAATTAAAATGGGTTAAAGTCCAGCTTCCCTAGCATGACATATAGTACAGCCTCTGCCTTCTGCCAAGGGTTGTGTGCCAGCCCATCTCCTTTCTAGCTCTGCACCAGCCACATTGAACATCTTCTAGTTCCTCAAATGCTCCAGGTTGCTGTGTAGTCTGCTGTGATCTGATGCCCCCTCTTCCAGAAAGGATAAGTCCTGACCCATGTTTTTGCCTGAAAAACAGCTATCTCCCCAAATTCATTTCATATATCACTTCACCTAGTCTTTCTGGAAAACCCCAAATCCATGTAGAATTGATCACTTCCCCTTTCTGCCTGTGCCAGATCTAGCATGTATCTCCTGGGACACCTCACTATGCTGGTTAACTCATTATCTTCTCTTATTAGACCTGTGTATCTTCAATGTGTTTGGCATGACTGAGGTTTTAGAAATGGTGGTGAAATCTATGCACCTCTTCCCAAACACATTACATAGGCACAGTATTTTGAATAAAATTCTAACAGCTTCATAGATCCCCTTGGAAACTATCCATGGTTTCCAGCAAAAGGGCTAAAGGTTAAGAAACCTTGTTTTAGACCAGTGATGGCGAACCTATGACACGCGTGTCAGAGGTGACACGCAAACTCATTTTTTTGGTTGATTCTTCTTTGTTAAATGGCATTTAAATATATAAAATAAATATCAAAAATATAAATCTTTGTTCATCAATTTATATATATATATATATATATATAGAGAGAGAGAGAGAGAGAGAGAGAGATCACAGCCAGAGAAGTCAGAAATCCAAGCACAAGAAGGATTTGATTCGGTGCTGTTTGCTTGAAGGTGGAAGGGGCCATGTGGCAAGGAATGTGGGCAGCCTCTAACAGTGATGGCGAGCCTATGACACGCGTGTCAGAGGTGACACGCGAACTCATTTTTTTTGGTTGATTTTTCTTTGTTAAATGGCATTTAAATATATAAAATAAATATCAAAAATATAAATCTTTGTTTTACTATGGTTGCAAATATCAAAAAATTTCTATATGTGACACGGCACCAGAGTTAAGTTAGGGTTTTTCAAAATGCTGACACGCCGAGCTCAAAAGGTTCACCATCACTGTTTTAGACCATGAGTCAGCAAAATTTTTCTTGAAGAGCCAGATAGTATACGTATATTTCATGCTTTTGGGGTCATAAGGTCTCTGTCACTACTACTTTACACTGCCATTGTACCTCGAAAGCAGCCATAGACAATATGTTTAAAAAATGGGCCTGGGTGTATTCCAATAAAACCTTATTTACAAAAATTGGCTACAGTCTAGATTTGGCCCACTGGCTGTAGCTTGCCAACCCTTGCTTTCGATAATAATTTCTTCAGGAGAAATGAATTTGTTTCCATATCCCTAGCATTGTACAATGCCTGGTATGTAATTGACACTCAAATGTTTGTTAAATGAGTAAATTTGCTAATTAATTTTTTAAAATAATAAAATTAGATATGTTGAGGAAGGAGAACATTGAGAAAGGAGGAATAAAGGCAACAGCCATGGGGATAGAGAGAATATCTAAGTGGATTCAGATATCCACTAATTGTGGAAGGTATATGAAGAGTACAGAAGAGGCCAGGAGTTCCCAGACTTCTGGCTGGGGTGATTTGTTGTTCATTAATTAACTATGATGTCTTGGATTAGCACCAAGTTATGAAATACTCAATAAACACTGATTATTTCTCATGGAATTATCTGCTTTAGCAATACTCTTTAAATCTCCCTATTTTCTCAAGGAATTCACTTGACCTCAAAAACCTCATTCAGAATGTAAAATTTCTGGCAAGGAAAACAATCCTATGCAGAGAGAATCAAATAAAGGTGCATTTGAAATTGCCTTTTTTGAGATAGTGTAGGGCAGTGATCAGCAAACTGCGGCTTGCGAGCCACAGGCGGCTCTTTGGCCCCTTGAGTGTGGCTCTTCCACAAAATACCACGTGCGGGCGCGCATGTACAGTGCGATTGAAACTTCGTGGCCCATGCGCAGAAGTCAGTATTTTGTGGAAGAGCCACACTCAAGGGGCCAAAGAGCCGCATGTGGCTCACGAGCCGCAGTTTGCCAACCACTGGTATAGGGAATGTGTTAGAAAATGAAATCTTTAGAGCCCTACAGCAGACCTACGCAGATCTACTGCACCAGAGCCCAACAGCCTGTGTGAACAAGAGCTCCAAGTGGTCCTGACGCTGTGTGTAGACTGAGAATTACTTCTCTAGGATTTATGTTGAGTGTCAGCCACAGAGTCCTCTACCAGCCTTCCTTGTTCCCAGAATCAGATATGATCATGGGCCCACTAGCCCCAGGAAGCAAGAGCAAAGAACCTTCTGTTGAACTGTTTGCTTGTTTTTTAATTCCTAGAAGTTCCTCCAGGTCATAGCTGGAGCTGAGAAGTATTTTATTGGCTTACTATACCAGCAGGCAACAAAGAGGTGGCATTGGATCAACAACTCCGTTTTCAACGGCAAGTATGTGAACAACCCACATTTTTCTAGGGAACTTTGTTCATTTCAGGAGTCCAGATCTGAGATTCAGTGGATTTGTCCTGGAAGAGCACATAGCTTAGACCTAGTTCTCTGTTCTGTTTCTCTCCTTTCTTCCAACCCATCCATTCCCAGAGATACATTTTTTGGTAATTTTTTTTATTATGGAACATACCAAACATTTCTAAATAGAGAGAAGAATATTCATACAACAAATTATTTTGTTCAAATTAAGATCCAAACAAACCCACATACTAGTACATACCATTTGTTTGATCTATCTCATAAGTCTCTTTTAACCCCCAGATCATATTTTATTACTAAGTTCTGACAAGTTTCCCAGATGTGGCTTCTTTATCCAAAGAAAGACAATCATTAGCAACTTGTCTCTGTCTTAAAGTTATAAACTTTAATTCCTAAGAGCTATCTCCTATCTTTCATTCCATACATAGCATTGGTGGAGAACATGGCATTGCCAGTGTACATCTGAAGAGGCTGAGTCAGATAGAAAGCAAGTCCGTTCCCTGCCTGTAACTGGGCTTCCCACAGAGGAGTGGAAATTAATACTCACTGTCGAATAAATTCCAGACACTTTACACATGTCATTCCTGCACTATCCACAATGATGCTACAGAAAAAAAAGCTTTTGTTAATCCCCATTTCACAGACAGTTGGATGGAGGATAAGTGACTTAGAAATGTGTTGAATGTCACCAAGCTGAGAATTGATGGAGCCACATTTTGATCCCACATACACTTGACTTCATAACTCTTGACCTTTCCATGAAGCCAGACTCTTTCCAGTCAGACTAAAAGAGCCTGACTGACAGAAAAAGAGGTGTGAGAAGGCCAATGAAGTATTTCTTTCCTAAAGCCACCTGCTGCCTAGGACAAGAAGTATCTTCCTCCTCTCAGTCCTCTTGCTGTGCTCATAGTACCTTCAGTACTAAAACATTACTTCTGGGAGGAAGTGGAACAAATGACCCATGTGGTGGTTCTAACCAAACACAGTGAGTCAGTCCGAGACTGTGAGTCCATAAACATTCACATGAGAGTTGACAGGAAAGGGTCAGTTTGGAGATGGATTTGGGGATAAGAAGGGGACTGGAATCAGGAAAAAGCAGGGCTGAACTGATGGGCCTTAACCATGTTGTTTTCTCATTCAGTATTACCAATCAGATTCAGGATTTCAACTGTGTGACCATAGGCCTAACAAACACATTCGATGCTGCATCATGTGACACTTTGTACCGCTATATCTGTGAAAAGCGTGCCAAATGATCGAGTTCTCTGTGGTCTCTGACAAGAACAACCAACATACTTATGAAGATAGCAAAAGAGAACATTGACAATTGGGACTGATCCAAGAAATAGAGAATATCAAATTACTGTGTCTGTCTTCTACAGGTTACTGGCTGAGCTCCCTAACCAATCCTCGAGGCTAATGCACGTGCCCCTTTACAGATATACTTGCATGTACACAACTGAGGCAAACCCCCCATTCTGAGCCAGTAATTCCTCAAGAGTCCATTTCCTGTGAGAGTCTCATCTGTGATTCTTTTTTATCTGAACAAGTCATGAAGTCAATGATCCCTTCGTGCATCTGTAGACTAGAAGAGGCCTGGCTGTTTGGGGGAATGAGCTTCTGTATTCCACAAGGGGGACTGGATACTAGCCATCTCCAGGAAACACGAACAGTTTTGTGGAGGCAATTCAGTTGGTATAAAGACAGCTATGTTTCTGTAGAACTGAGCACTTCTCATTGGTCAACAGGGCTGAGCCTGTTGCTAGGGTCTGTCTGATCCTCAGAGCACCTGGCCATACTACCAGGGAGAAACTGCAGACTGAGCAGGTGTGAACCTTATTTAGAGAGTAGCAAGGGTGGAAGATGGATAAACTCCACTTCTGTGCCCTCATCTCTGTTCCCAAGAGACCCCTCCACACACCCTTCATCCCTGCCCCTGGTCTGAACTGAGGCCAGGCTCTGGGAAGGACTCTTGGAGCCGAGCGTGGAGCAGAGAGAGTGTTGTTCCAGGGATTGAGGAGGAGTCTTGGCAGGCCAGGAATCTGCTAGGAAACCCCTTTTAAGACAACCCAACAGTCAAGATGATCAAGCTGACTGAATCTCTGTTCTTCAACAAAGCTCTAAGACAGACTCAAGCTAACAATGTTCTTGGTCTTGGCCTGAATCTCCATTTTAACAGACTCTTATTATCTGATCATATTTGTTGAGTATATTTTAACAAACTGGGGTAATCTCCTGGGCCCCAGTGATCACAACATATTCCTCTTTGCAGTTCTGTAGCGACCCTGCCAGGTACAGTTTTGCACTGGTTGACATCACACTGATCCCAGACAAGTCCAGCTGATCAAGAATTAGAAAAGAAGGGGAGGGATGCTGAAGGAAACATTGGGTGGAGGCAAGGAGTGGGCATATAGGAGAAAGGGCACACCAGGAACAAATGGAAATCATTCTGGAGGAAATAAAAGTCCATTTGGCCCGATGGGAAGGAAGGCAAGAAAGAGGTAGAAAAATCATGGGGTGTCCTGTCTGTTCTCTGTACTCAACATAGGCTACAGACCCTCCTCAGTGCATGGAAAAGAGAAAAGAGATGCCCATGGGTTTTCAGTAGCAAGAATTAAACGATGAGAGACTGTACAAAATAAATGGAAATTATAGTCACCTAAGTAAAATGCTTACCATTTATGTCTAATAAAATAAATGTCATTAGATGGATGTCAAATTAAATTATTGTCAGTTTTACTTTTATTATTATACCACTAAGCTCTGTTCCTGTGTTACTAAGCGTCATAGTTTTTGGTTAATTAGCATGCCACTTATTTATAATTTTAAAAAATGATATAATTAGAACTTGCTTGAAGGAGATTGCCAGAAACAATTTGTGTTTGGGGTAGAGTGGATGTTGGAATTATATTAGTAGTCTCATGGTGTTCGCAAAGACCAGTGCTGCAGTTGAGGAGGGAGGAAAGGCTAGGTGAAAAAAAAAAAAAAAAAAAGAAAAGAAAAAGCAGAATTCTAACCAAAGTTAAGCCTCAGAATTCAGACAACAGAGTGAAAACCACAACCGTCTGTTTTGAGAAGGGAGAACTGTGGTTGCCACACTTCCTATGTGATGACAGGAGAGATTGCAAACTTTTAGAGTCCGGAAATGTAGACATCTAGTGATTTCCCTAGGAGACAGCTCAAATTTTCCCCAAGATAAGGAGGTGTTCTATCCCAGTTCTAAAAGAGGTCCCATGAGCTGGGCTGGGGTGCTGGTAGGGAGTATATAGGAAATATGTGGACTATGGTTTAAGTTTATTACTGGGGTCAGGGGTGGTCAGATATTAGGATAGATAAATGTCACCTTATAGGATAGCAGCAGTGTGGTTTTCATTTTTTTATTATATATATATTTTAATCCTCACCTGAGGATATATTTATTGATTTTTAAAGATAGGGGAAGGGGGGAAGAGAGAGAGAGGAAGAAAGAGAGAGAGAGAAAAACATTGATCGGTTGCCTCCCATATGTGCCCCAACTGGGGTTGAATCCACAACATAGGTATGTGCTCTGACCTGAAATCGAACCCACAACCTTTTTGGTTTACAAGACAATGCTCCAACCAACTGATCACCCAGCTGGGCTGTGTTAGAGTTTTTTAAAAAAGCAATGTAAATCTAATAAACCACTGGATTGGAGTTTTGACTCTGCTTCCAATATGGTATGGGAATCTGTATAGAACTCTTATGTTTTCTGTGTCTTAATTTCCTTATGTATAAAATGGGGCAGTAATCTCTCTCTCACAAAATTCTTGCATATAATAAATAAGACCCTCACTATGTGTCTCAATGGTGATAAACAATAGGGGAAGCCCTTAGTGGAATATTTGCAGTTAAGACCTTTATCTTAGAATTGGCTCTTTAATTTGACTATTCATTCTCTTTATAGTGTCCTTCGATGCACAAAAGATTTTAATTTTGATGAATTCCAATTTATCTATTTTTTTCCTTTTATTGCCTGTGCTTTTGGTGTCATATCCATTAAATCGCTGCCAAATCCAGTGTCATGAGACTGTTCCCTATGTTTTCTTCTAAGAGTTTTATAGTGTCAGGTCTTATATCTAGATCTTTGATCTATTTGGAGTTAACCTTTGTATATGGGATAAGGTAACAATCCAAATTCATTCTTTTGCATGTAGATATCCAGTTTCTCCACGTGCCAGGTTTTTAATCTCATAAGATTAAAAATGATGTTCTATACAATTTTTTCCTTCTTGAATCTATAAGTGTATATCTAGAACAGTTTCTCCACGTGCCAGGTTTTTAATCTCATAAGATTGAAAATAATGTTCTATACAATTTTTTCCTTCTTGAATCTAATTATAAGTGTATATCTAGATTACAGAAGCAACAGACTATAACAACAAAAGCAAATTACTACATGTAATATTACCCTATCTTAAACAAACATAATCTTACACCCCTGGACTGAAGTTAGGCATTGTGGTAGATTATATTATTGTTCACAAATTCACTGTCCCTCCCTGCAGGAGGACAATCCTTTCCTATCCTGCTGATAGCAGGCTTGGCCTTGTCACTTGCTTTAGCCAATGAAGACTGACCACAATTTACCATACTCTTCCCCGCCCCCACCCCAGTTGGAGGCTGCCCCATTAGCCTGGACTATACAGAGGACAATGAGGAGCAGAGAGACAACTGACCCACAGTCAAATACTGGGAACAGAATAAACATTTGCTGTTGTTAGCTATGAAGATATTTGAGGTTGTTTGTCATCATAACATACCTAGACTATCTTGATGCAAGAATGAATATCAAGTAGTTCACATAAAGATATACAATTAGCATTGCACAAGTTAGCAGTGTAGGTTATTTAGCACACTGGTTAAGCAGATAAACTCTGATGCCAGATTGCCTAGGTTTGGATCCTGGGCCCCTACATACTAACAATGTGACCTTGAGCAAGTCCCTTCCTGTCTCTGTACCACAGCAATGCTTTTCCTAAGCTTGCAACTTTTATGTTAAAAACTAAAAATATTTCCTAAAATATTTTGATTTAACAGGTAGCTCCATTTACCAAGTGTCTTCCAGTTAGAGAAATATGTGTATGTAAATAAGCAGGTATTCCTGTATAATAAAAGAAATAAATACATAAATTCATAAATTAAAAAGGGTGAGAGGTTGAATTACTACATCCCTAAGACACAAAATAAATGCAATTATTTTATTTTTATAGGCAATACGCACACATGATTACACAAATAAAAAAAATCTTAAAAGGCATGCAGTGAACAGTCTTGCTCCCTTCCCCATTCTTTGTGCCCATCCCCCTACCACAATCCCATAGGCAACCACCTATTAGTTTCTTATCATGCTGTTAACAAGCAAATCTGTATATATAAAAGCCTAAGTGACTGTTACGACTGAACAACCAACCGGAACAACCAGAAAAACCAGTCGACCGGTCACTATGACGTGCACTGACCACCAGGGGGCAGGTGTTCAATGCAGGAGCTGTCCCCTGGTAGTTAGTGCACTCCCACAGAGGGAGTGCTGCTCAGCTGACCGACCAGTCATGGCAGCCCACCAGCCTGGCAGCAGCCACTCCCTCCCTCAGTAATCCTGCAGGTCCAATCTCTGGAGAACAGGCCAGGCACCCATGGACCAGCACCACTGGCATGATCCCAACAGCGCCGCAGGCCTTCTGGAAGTCAGCCTTGGGCACCACGGCCGCTTCCCCTCTCTAGATGCTCCACAAGGAAGAAACAACATAAAAGCGGCTGCCAGGTGACTCCCGACAACTGGCGCAAATGTCAGTGGGACGGATCCAGATCCCAGGCCAGCAAGGGCATTTTACCACCTGCCCTGAAGGGCTGATTGTGTCCCCCGACACCCGGACCCCACCCGTGCATGAATTCCTGCACCGGGTCTCTAGTATAAATATAAATATGCAGCAGGTCCTGGGCAATTTGTTACAATGTTGCCATAGGAACTTAACTCTCATTTATATCAATTCACTTATGGCAAAACTGGCTTTATACTACATCATTTTGCCACTGTTCCATGGACTTATCAACAACATTAAGTGAGGACTTACTGTACATTCTTTTCTACTCCGTCCTTACACAAAAGGCTGAATACTGAAATTCAATGTACTTTGCTTTTCTCACTTACCAATATGGCTTGGAGATCATTTCTAACCATTGAAAAAAGAGCTTCTTTATTCTTTTCACAGCTACATAACATTTCATTGTACAGATA